TCCATCTGGTGGCAGGTACCGTCAAATCCGCCGGTAGGTAGTTCATAGAGCCTGATCATCCTCTCTCTCACTACATCTCGCGATTCGCTCCGTCCGGTGTAGCATATTGAGAACAAGTTGGGCGGCTTGCAGCCTGGTGAGCGTTACAACCACATACGTTCGGTTGAACGACGATCGTTCGTGAGCGTGGGTGCTGTTTTGGTGACTGTTGTTGTTCGTTTCATTTGTGATCTATGTTGCTGTTGCCGATCCTGGTAGGGTGTGCGCGCCCACGTTGACATCCATGTACCATAGTCTTGAGGGGAAAACCGGTAGGAGTCTTGGCGGTTTGAATTGGCCCGCGAGCAAAAAAGAGTGGAATTGAGGGAATCTTCCCTCCGTGCTTGAGAGCCAGACGGCGCAATCGATGGGTACTGAGTCCTAGTAGCAGTCGGTCTGGTGGCAGGTAGTCTCAAATCCGCCGGCAGATAGTTCATCGAGCCCGATCATCCTGTCCCTCACTACATTTCGCGATTCGCTCCTTCCGGTGTAGCATATTGAGAACAAGCGGGGCGACTTGCGGACTTGCGGTCCGGTGAGCGTTACAATCACGTACGTTCGATTGAGCGACGATCGTTTGTGACCATGGGTGCAGTTTTGATATTTATTGTTGTTTGCTTGTTGTTGTTGTGTTTATGTTGGTGTTGTCGACTGTGGTGGGAAAGCAGGTAGATATCCGGACAGGCTTTGTAGTTTTGCCGACGAGCGTTCACGAAGTGTGGAATTTGGGGCATTTTAGCTCCGCGTTCGTGCTGCCTGTAGTCTACATCTTGTACCCGAACGGGGGGCACTACCGGTGTTGTTGTTGTTTCCATCCTTTATGATGGTTGGGGAATCTACTTAGTGGCCCGGCAGCTGCAGATTGGCTTTCTTAGCGAAGGGCTTCTTGCGGCCTGATGGTCGTAAAAATCACCTAAGCAATAGTCGCATGAACGAAATTCGATTCTGCACATCAAAGAGCACATCGTGCCGTGTTTACTCACCCCACCCTCCCTTTCCCACCACCGTACCACCGCCTTTCCCCCTCCTTTGTTGCCTGTCCGTCTCGACGAACAGATGATCTGATACGGTCCATGATTGAGCGCTTGCATGCTCCAACGGTGGGGTTGCGCTTCCTTAGGAGGTCAACAGACCGACTGCCAAAAATTCTGCTCGGCTTCAACGATCAACGAGTGAGTAGCCTACGCGAGAACGAACAGCGTTTCCCCCACGTTGCTGTCCTTGCGAATGAGACAATGAAATTGGCGGCGGGACATGTTGGACTTTTCCTTGCTTGGGTATCCGGTTGAAAAAGGATAGCATTGATCGGTAACGTGTTGGTGGGCGTCGAGGTCGGTTGAACACTTTTGAGTATATCGTTAGTCGTTCATTTCTGCAAGAAGAGGAGCCTGGTTGTCGCTCCCAACAGACACACCCGGAATAGGGTCAATTTTGCAGGGGATTAATGTCGGTTTTCCTTATAACTACCGCTGTGTAAGGGGGGGAGATCTTCCCGTGTGCGAAGAAAAAAGGCTTCACGCTCTCAAAGGCTGCAAGCCCACTCACAGTCACCATTCATTGCCTCATGCACAACGCTGTATTGCTTCCGTAGTGCTGAACCCAGACGGCGAGTCCCATCCGAAATACATGCTTTTCATGAGTTGCGATTCTAGAAGGGAGCAAGAACCAATCTGCACACAAAAAGCATTGCCCAAGGGGAAGCTGAAGAATCGGGAGGGATCTGTCCATTTTGTCGAAAGAATACCTATTATAGTCTGTATTTTCGGGGAGGTTTTTCGATATTTGTTGGACCACTTGTAGTTGGGAGCGCGGGATCAATGCGAGAGGGGGCAAATCAAATTTCGGCATGTACTATTATAATAGGTTGCGTTCGTCTTCCGTAGTGCCCATGCCTTGTGTGGACTTCATGATACGGTTGTGGGGAGCTTTGACAAATTTTGGGAAGGGAGTGGTGCAAGTCGAGTGACTGTTTGCGCGTCTGTTGTCTTTCCGTCACTCTGGGATAGTTTTCGCCGCACATATATATGTCTTTCCGTCACTCTGGGATAGTTTTCGCCGCACATATGACGCATGCCACCATTCCTGAATTTTGGCGACTTTCGATGGGTCGACTCTGTCCATAGCCCCCGCAGGAACGGAGCAACAGGTGTTCTCGTTGATCGTTGACAGTCGTCGATTGTGTCAAAGGCACGACGTTCGGTGTGGTGCATAACAACTTCGTTACCCCCCTCCAACGTTGTGAAGAGATAATCGTCCTTGGCGGCAGAGTCTACCTTGCTGGCTGTACCCCGATTGTGAATCACACAGAACGTGTGACCGTCCACCATCTCCACAACTATTTCTTTTGAGCGCAAGCTTTAGACGTTTCAGAGTTTGAGATTGTGGTCCACACACGGACACTGTGTTAGACTAGACTACATGTACGCGAAAAGATTATTTTGTCCGGAAACATTGGTCTACTCTCAAGTCGATACTTGTACCCAATGCGTTGGGGTGTACATAGTCTATGCCATACCGATTGTGTTTCAACGCCTTGGCCTCTGGCGTGTGCTTGCGTCTCCAGAGTGGAATGTTCGCGGCAGCCACGCCGTGTTCCTCAGAAGTTCGAGCTCGTGCTGAGAATCCCGCAGCCCTGAGCGACGGGACGGAATGATGGAAAGTCAACTTCCCAGAGGTACGATACGCAGACGTAGCATCCACTCACTTCGAACGGGCGACCCGTCTTGGAGCAGACCTACTTGAGCAAATATAAACATCTGGACGATATTGCCCAAAATATTGAAACGCGGTTTCCGGTCATCTCTCATCTATCTCTGATCGCTGACCACGGCTAATATCGTACACCTCGCTCACGCCTCCCCCACGTCATTCCTCTAGCACGGTGCCCGACAGGGCAAATGATCGTGAATGGCTTGTTCAGTGCATAGACTAAGCAACGAGAAAAAGACCAGGAACAAGCCCCCCACGTGGTGCGTCTTCTTGGTGTGTGGTGTTCGGCGTGCCGTGTACGCATCTACTGCAAGAGATCTAAACTGTCAGTCCCGGTCCTCATTGTGCGCAGCTGTTGATCTTTCGCCTTTCGAAGACACCACTGTCATCGGTAGACATAAAGGCGCACACTGGTCACGACTTTGTTGCGGTAGCCAACACCAGACATGGTTTATGAGAGGAGTCGTTCAACTCACCCTGGCAGAGCTAACAAGACCTAAAGGAAAGTTCACCCCATGTTACATACAGAGGGCCGTTCGTTCCTCAAGCACCATGTAGCGTTTGGCAACGGTACCTTTTCAGAACAATGACCACTCTCTGCGCAATAGGGGTCTCTCTTGCCGCTCGTTGCGGTCGTTTTCTATGGCTGATGAGAATGCGTAGTCTAAATGTACTGTAAACTAGTCTAGACCTTCTTCCCACTCCCGATGGAATACCTCGCTGCAACAATTTTCGACGACGTCTTCAAAGCTGACTACGTCCAATCCCTGCTGCAAGATCAGTCTGTACCTGAACATGTTCGGAAAGGGCCAACGGTGAGCATGATGTCGATCATGTTGAACGTAGAGAGTACCCTTGTAAACGAAACAATCTTTGCCACCGCCCGCGCCTAGCCAAAGTCCCGCCAAGCCCAATCCAGCCTCGCCTCCCGTGCCACCTACCTGGCGCGCACACACAACGCATATAGCCGGTACCCAATAAAAGGGGTGCCCCTTAGCACCTCAATTGCCGACGTGAACACAGAAATATTCCCTTAGGACAGTGCTATCTTGAACAGTCCTTACCTTGTTGTCCCACTGCTAAGGGCCTGAATGCAGCAGAAATGGCCCCTTGGTTGCCGTAGTTGCATTTCCCCCGGGAATAAACTGTCCCTATCTCGGTATAGTAGCCAAAGGCCAGATCCGGCATGGGCGACAGTAGAAGCCGTGCAACACCACCGAATATTGCGTCCTACAGGATGGCAGGTTGGGTGGCAACTTCATGAGCAGGATTCACAGGCACCAAACAAATGTGGGTTCTTCCAGGGAGGCAGAGTACCCTTCCACCTGAGGTTATATAGGTCGGGATTCTTGTAGGATGTTTGTGTGCACTGCCGCCCTCAGCGGTCTGTGGTGTTGAGACTGGGTACAATGTTATCCCATGAACAGCAGATGAAAAAGGACCGTGTATTACTCATATCCGTCACGCAAGCCCCTCAGGCAAGTGCCAGGAGCACACCGCCGTGTGCTCAACCGGGGGGACCGCACTTGGACCTCATCCGCATACATGCCCATCACACCCATACTTCCCATACGCGTATCCCCCACAGAGGATGCACANTGAACAGCAGATGAAAAAGGACCGTGTATTACTCATATCCGTCACGCAAGCCCCTCAGGCAAGTGCCAGGAGCACACCGCCGTGTGCTCAACCGGGGGGACCGCACTTGGACCTCATCCGCATACATGCCCATCACACCCATACTTCCCATACGCGTATCCCCCACAGAGGATGCACAGATCGGACTCATATCCAAGTACCACAAACAGTCCCCCTACTTGATACGATGTACGATCTTGCAACCCTTCACGCGCAATCAGCCAACACAGAAAAACACCCCTTGAGAAAACTTACTCAACAAAACTGGCTGCACATTCAACACAAAGCGTCTCCATCCATCACCTTATTCACGAAACCAACGCGTTCGTCTCTGGAAATAGTCTCAAACCTTTGACACAAAAGAATCATCCTCACAAAGGTACCCAACAATTATTTGTGCTACATCAGAAAGGCGTCGGAACGAAAACGGATATTTCTGGGAAAAACAACTTTGTAAGAGTTGGCACCAAGTCCTCAAACAAAACAAAAACTCAACTTCTTGACCAATCAAAACGAGAATTCGGAAAGCACAACGGCCCCAACCATTAATCGTCCAAACATGTCAAATCCTTCCTCCAATACAATGTCCAAGGACCAAATCCTAAACAGCGCGCACCCGCTAATCGGTACCGTCGCTGTTGTCCAAGAAACGGTAGAAAACGTAAGCAAGCATCCACGCAAACAGCCCCCCTGCTGCTAGCTCTCAAAATTCACCCCGAGCTAATATTTTGATGCCAACACCCCCCTTACTTTGCCGTTCACCTAACACACAAGTAGGCGCGGCCAGAAAACAAACCAATTCGATTGCTGCTCATGCCCTCTAGAATCATGGCCATACATGACATCCCCCCCCATGATTTTCGATGCAAGAGCAGCGAAACATGAGAAACAAACAAGAAACATGAAGAAACACGAAACACATAAGGCATCAAACTCCAGAAAAAGTTCCTACCGTATACAAACTGTCTCCTCAACTGGAACTCCGTAAGTCCCCTTGCTCCCTGATCGGTATGCCTTCATGCATGTCAAAAAATGCGCTGTCACCCCATTTCGTGCGCGTGGCCAGAAACACACCGCAGAGAGCGACCACTTAATCAGGACCTCACATAAAACCAAAGTATCGAAACATTCTAAGTGCGAAGTGTCCAGTTCGTAGAAAAAAAAAACTCGACTGAACGTACTCCCTCCAAAGAATACGGAAATAGTATGAAGCATTCAGTTGCAAGGTTAAACGCGACTGAAAATATACCAAGAACCAAGGAAAAAAAAATACCCACGTGCTGCTTCTTATTCCACAGGTTGTGGCAATGATTATCTTGTCGCAGTGTACAATTATCATAATGAAACCAAGTACAAACAAAAAAAATTACACACACGCCGTGGCATACATGTGTTTTCTGCATCAAAGTGCACGGTGCGCTAGCAAGGGAAAAACATAACAAAAAAATAAATGCGAAGCCAAATGGCGAATCTAAAACGTACATGCTTGATCACAAAACCGAACAAAGTCGTAAAAGTTTCACATGTTCTCCCACTTGGCTGTAACAAGGTGAGGTCGTCGCTGTCACCGTGTCCTCCCCGTTCCCGGTCGACTCGAGGGCGCCACCGCTGCTGCCGCCGCTGCCATCACCGCCGTTGCCGTCCCCCCGCCGCCACGACCGTCATGAGACCTAGCGCCAACACGGCTGCCGGTGACGTCGCTGCTGCCGCCTCTACCACCGCCGCCGTGGTCGCCGCTGCCGCCGACGGGGCTCTGGCCAAAGCCGCCGCTGCCGTCGTCTGCTGCCGTCGGAGCTCTGGCCGAAGCCACCACTCCCGTCGCTGCTCCTGCTGAAGGGGTACGCCATCCCTGGTACCGCCCCCCGACTCCTCGCGACATGCGAACATGTCGTACCGGGGTCGAAGGGGTGCGTCGGGGCTCCACACCAGGTTTCATCCAACCCTCATCCCCGCTCCCATCACCACCGCTTTCCTCGCTGCTGCTGCCGCTGCTGCTGCTGCCGCTGCTGCTGCTGCTCACGTCCCCCTCAGCCTTCCCGGGGTCGGAAAGGTGCGTCGGGGCTCCACTCCATATTTCATCCAACCCCACGTCCTCGCTCCCATCGCCGCCGCTGTCCTCGCTGCTGCAGCTGCTGCAGCTGCTGCTGCTGCTGCTGCTGTTGCTCACGCCCCCCCCAGCACATTGGCTATCAAGCTCCTCGNTCCCTGGTACCGCCCCCCGACTCCTCGCGACATGCGAACATGTCGTACCGGGGTCGAAGGGGTGCGTCGGGGCTCCACACCAGGTTTCATCCAACCCTCATCCCCGCTCCCATCACCACCGCTTTCCTCGCTGCTGCTGCCGCTGCTGCTGCTGCCGCTGCTGCTGCTGCTCACGTCCCCCTCAGCCTTCCCGGGGTCGGAAAGGTGCGTCGGGGCTCCACTCCATATTTCATCCAACCCCACGTCCTCGCTCCCATCGCCGCCGCTGTCCTCGCTGCTGCAGCTGCTGCAGCTGCTGCTGCTGCTGCTGCTGTTGCTCACGCCCCCCCCAGCACATTGGCTATCAAGCTCCTCGAGGACTGGCAATGGCATGGTTGTCGCACCAACCGCTTCCTCCAACTCTTCGTCACATACCGCCGCCCCTGCGGCCGTCTGGACACCCGACGCCAACGCGGCGACCGGGGACGCCGCTGCTGCTGTCGCCGTTGCCGTTACCCCCATCACCGTTGTCGCTACCACCGCCGCTGCGGCCGTCTGGATACCCGACGCCAACGCGGCGACCGGGGACGCCGCCGCTGCTGCTGCTGCTGCTGCCGTTCCCCCCGTCACCGACCCCGCCACCGCCGATGCTGCTGTCGGGGACGGCGCTCTGGCCGAAGCCGTCCGCACCACCTCCGCTCCCGCCGATGCTGCTGTCGGTGACGGCGCTCTGGCCGAACCCGTCCTCGCCGCCGCCGCTTCTGCCGATGCTGCCGCCGCCGCCGCTGCGGCCGTCTGTATACCAACGCCAACTCGCTGTTCCTCCGCTGCTGCTGAACGGGCGAAAGCTGGAGCTGTACCAGGAGCGCCGTTGCAGGAACGTAGAGGTTGCTTCTGTTGACGAGGCTGCTGCTGTGGCATGGGCTGCTGCTGCACCGATGACTGTGGCACGAACCTCTGCTGCACGCACGGTTGTTGCTGCTGCTGCTGAANTCCCCCCGTCACCGACCCCGCCACCGCCGATGCTGCTGTCGGGGACGGCGCTCTGGCCGAAGCCGTCCGCACCACCTCCGCTCCCGCCGATGCTGCTGTCGGTGACGGCGCTCTGGCCGAACCCGTCCTCGCCGCCGCCGCTTCTGCCGATGCTGCCGCCGCCGCCGCTGCGGCCGTCTGTATACCAACGCCAACTCGCTGTTCCTCCGCTGCTGCTGAACGGGCGAAAGCTGGAGCTGTACCAGGAGCGCCGTTGCAGGAACGTAGAGGTTGCTTCTGTTGACGAGGCTGCTGCTGTGGCATGGGCTGCTGCTGCACCGATGGCTGTGGCACGAACCTCTGCTGCACGCACGGTTGTTGCTGCTGCTGCTGAAAGGAACACCCTCTGCCAAACACGCCGTACCTCCACTGATGCTGGAACGGTTGCTGTACGGGAACACCTCCGCATGACTGCTGTAGACCATGCTGCTGTTGACGAGAAAAACTTCCCCAACAGTCGCGCCGAAAATTTCCACCGCCGACATGAAGAGCGTGCGGGTCACCGGTCGGCGCTGCCGTCCGCCGCGCAACATTCACGAGGTCTCTCTCGGCGTGCAGGCTACGCACAAGATTCTCCAAGTCCTTGCGCGTGAGCGAGCTGTTGGCCATGAGGAGAATGTGGACCTGTTCGTAGTCGGCGGAGAGGTTCCTTCGAAGCATCGCGAGGACTTCTCTATCTGTGATCGCATCGCCGTTGACGGCGCGGAGAGTAGACAACACCCTGTCGAACCTAAGAAAATACTCCTTTGGGTCCTCTTCAAGCTGCATCTTCATGTTCGTGAGAGACAGCTTCAGTGCCTCCTGCTCGGAGTCACTCATCGCCAGGCAGAACTGTTGTGTGCAGCCTCCCACGCCCCAGACACAGTCCCAACGGCAAGGATTCTAGCCTGAAAGTTTGCCCCCTTCGTGGCGCGCATCAAGTACTCAAACGCATACTCATGATCGCGCACGCGACGCTCACCGTGCCAGCGGACGTTTTCGCTCCTTGGCAGCCCGTTGAGGAGCCAGATGCGTTGGTCTGGACTCGCCGGCTTGGCGAGTGTGTGTGATAGACCTTCGCGGGCGAGAAAGAGCTCGAACAGCAACGTGAACAGTGGGAAGTTGCCGTCGTACACCGGTGGCTTCCGGTCCTTCCGCNCCAGGCAGAACTGTTGTGTGCAGCCTCCCACGCCCCAGACACAGTCCCAACGGCAAGGATTCTAGCCTGAAAGTTTGCCCCCTTCGTGGCGCGCATCAAGTACTCAAACGCATACTCATGATCGCGCACGCGACGCTCACCGTGCCAGCGGACGTTTTCGCTCCTTGGCAGCCCGTTGAGGAGCCAGATGCGTTGGTCTGGACTCGCCGGCTTGGCGAGTGTGTGTGATAGACCTTCGCGGGCGAGAAAGAGCTCGAACAGCAACGTGAACAGTGGGAAGTTGCCGTCGTACACCGGTGGCTTCCGGTCCTTCCGCACGTAATCGCGGTAACGCTGCTGCTGCTCCCGATCATCGAAAAAACTAGCCGTCCCCCCGGCTCCAACAGTAGCCGCCCCTCCGGCAGCTCCATCCCTGCTATGGTACCCAGGCGCAAAGCCAGCGCCGCTTATCCTCATGTTACCTGCCGCATACCCGGCATCACCCACTCTCCTTCTCGCGGCTCTCCGCTGAACTCCTCTCTTCCGCTTCATCTATTCTCCTCTGCATTTCCGCCATCTTGGCTGCCGCTTTCTCGGCTGCTCTCTCGACATTCCTCGCTTGTTCTTCTAACTCTCTTTCTCTTTCCGTCATCGCCGAACCAACACCTGGTCTGGCTAGGCTCCAAACTACGATATCGTGTTTGTGTGCACTGCCGCCCTCAGCGGTCTGTGGTGTTGAGACTGGGTACTATGTTATCCCAGGAACAGCAGATGAAAGAGGACCATGTATTACTCATATCCGTCACGCAAGCCCCTCAGGCAAGTGCCAGGAGCACACTGCCGTGTGCTCACCCGGGGGGACCGCACTTGGACCCCAACGGCATACATACCCATCACACTCATACTTCCCATACGCGTATCCCCCACAGTGGATGCACAGGTCGGACTCATATCCAAGCACCACAAACATAGGAGAGGCACTTCAAGATTTCGATCGTCATAGATGCATCACTTGCACGGCGTCGTTGCGCACCCGGTCACACAAGGCAACCTAATACCATTACTTTCCCTTGAACATTGTTGGTGAACATGTCACGGCCGTCTTATCGTTCCATGGACAGTCCTCTGAGGCGTGCAAGACGACCCTGTACCATTATTTCCCCGTGAATATTGTTTGTGAACATGTCACCGCCGTCTTATCGTTCCATGGACAGTCCTCGGAGGCGTGCAAGGCGGGAGGTGAAAAGCGAGAACGATCCGATTCCGCGGAACCATCCGCTGAGTCCCCCCGGGAAGAAGAGACGGCAGTCATCGAGACCGGTACCGCCAAACCGGGCGGAGCGGATGGTCAATCGATGGCCGAGGTGGGGATGGTCGCCGGTCGTCCCTAAAGACTACCTGTGTCATAGCAAGAAATTACCATCACCACTTCCGGTGCTAACACCGAGCACTGCCGTGAATGGTCGTCGAAAGGCGTCACGCAGACGTTCTCCGTCCACGGAGTTTCTGTTAGCTTCATCGCTTTGCACGAGAACAAAGCGAATTCCAACCACCCGTTGCACAATCGCTACAGCACAACCTCGGTAGCATTCAAATGTTCGTAGAGACCGCTTTAGCGTCGCGCGTTTATGTGAAAGTAGGTCTTGCTTGATGTCCGGTTTCGCCTTTACAAAGCATTTCAGGCAGGGATGGGGACGAACACGGCTCAATGCGTCGAGTTCTCGCACCATGCTCTCGCTGAAACTGACCACTGCTGTTGTGTCGTGTGGTCGATCTCGAGCGTCGATTCAAAAAATAGGTGCCTACCACTAAACATTGCACGTATCCCCCAGGATTCCAGGTTGGAATTTGCCCTGCATCGAGTTGGAATCCGCGGCGGATTCCAGCTCGATCCGGCCGAAATTTTCCAAATTGGAATTTTTCGGGATTCCCACGGCTCCATAACTTAGGATATTTTGGAATTCGGGGGGTTTCATGGGAAACTTTCCCCAGGGTGGGTAGTCATTTTTTTACGGAGCCCCCCGAAATTCCAATTTGGAATTCCCCATAACAATTGGCCTTAAAGCCAGATATATGTCCGGAGGTGTCGCAACCTCCCCCCCCCCAGGTTGAAGATTTTTTCAACCAGGGATAGGCGGGGGCTCCGACCCATGTGCGGTGTGATTACAGCAACAGTCAACAGTTAGTTGCAGATCCTATGCTACACACACAGCAATTGATACGCACACAGCTTCTGTGAGTACAAACTTGTGCACCAGCACCAGAAGTACAGTAGATAAAGTCTCCTCTGCAGGTGCTTTCATGGGTAGTCTTGGAACTCGTTGTACGCTCACAAATGGAGGTGACAGCAGATAGATGGATGGATCTCTTACGCGTGATCTGCTGGGTTGACGTCACTCACCCGTTGGCTGCCGCAGCTACATACAGATGCACANTTGGAACTCGTTGTACGCTCACAAATGGAGGTGACAGCAGATAGATGGATGGATCTCTTACGCGTGATCTGCTGGGTTGACGTCACTCACCCGTTGGCTGCCGCAGCTACATACAGATGCACACACAGGGAGAGATGCACACACACAGCTCTGTCAGCTACAAACGTGT